TGTGCCCTCTGACTAAAAGAATGTTCCCTTGCATACCCTGTCTCACTCCATCACTTCCACTCAGGTTTCTGCTCAAAATATCTGCTTGTCAGAAAAGCCTTACATGATCATTCCATCTAAATAATGTGCCCAGATATTCCCCTTCTTCTTACCCTAAACTTAATTTTTATCATAATACTTCAATTACCTAAAAGTATGTATTTGCTTATCATCTACTGATGCCTCCCCCCTGAGATTTGTAAGCCCCATGAAGACAGGATATTTTAAGATAGAGGAGTACTTAGATAGATACACTTTGCCTCCTCACACAACCAAAAGAAGGATAACAAATTTAAAAACAAAAAATAAACACAACTGCCAGAAAATCGAACTGTCTGGAAGTCCAACAACCAAGGACTTAAAGAAGAAATATTCATTCAGACTCATAGGAGGGGTGGAGACTGACAGCGGGGCGAGAGGACTCCCAGCGAATCAGCAGCTGGAGGACCAGGCAGTCAGTCCCACATTTGTGTGCGGAAAAACTGAGGAGCGAGACAGACTGTGCAACCCGGGGTTCCAGCGAGGGGAAATAAACCCTCAGAGCCTCTGACCGAAAATACCTGTGAGGATTGAGGCAGGAGAAACTCACAGCCTCACAGGACAGTTCTTTGGAGAGACCCACAGGGTCCTAAAACATACACAAAACTACCCACCCACCCAGGAATTAGCACCAGAAGGGCCCAATTTGATTGTGGGAAGTGGGGAAGTAACTGAAAACCAGCAGAGAGCTGAGCAAGGGGCACTGTTCCTCCTCAAACTCCTCCCCCACAGACAGGGCCACACCATAGCAACGTGGGTTGCCCTGCCCTGGTAAATACCTAAGGCTCCACCCCCTACTATGTAACAGGTGTGGGGAGACAAAAAGTATAGCCCAAATGAAAGAACAGATCAAAGCTCCAGAGAAAAATACAACTAAGCGATGAAAAGATAGCCAACTTATGAGATGCAGAGTTCAAAACACTGGTAATCAGGATGCTCACAGAAATGGTTGAGTATGGTTGTAAAATAAAGCAAAGAGTGAAGGCTATGAAAAATAAAATAAAGGAAACCAACAGTGACAGGAAAGAAACCAGGACTCAAATAAATGGTTTGGACCAGAAGGAAGAAATAAACATTCAACCAGAACAGAATGAGGAAACAAGAATTCAAAAGAGTGAGGAGAGGCTGAGGAACCTCCAGGACAACTTTAAACATTCTAACATCCAAATCACAGGGGTGCCAGAAAGAGAAGAGGAAGAACAAAAAACTGAAAACTTATTTGAAAACATAATGAAAGAGAACTTCCCCAATCTGATGAAGAAAATAGATTTCCAGGAAGTCCAGGAAGCTCAGAGAGTCCCAAAGAAGTTGGAACCAAGAAAGCACACACCAAGGCACAACATAATTACATTATCCACGATAAGGAGAAAATCTTAAAAGCAGCAAGAGGAAAGAAGAGTTACCCACAAAGGAGTTCCCATAAGACTATCAGCTGATTTCTCAACAGAAACTTTGCAGGCAAGTAGGAGCTGGAAAGAAGTACTGCAAGTCATAAAAGACAAGGACCTACATCCAAGATTACTCTATCCAGCAAAATTATCATTTAGAATAGAAGGGCAGGTGCTTCCCAGATAAGGTACAGTTTAAAGAAGTTCACCATCACCAAGCCCTTATTATATGAAATATGGTAAATGCATGAATGTACACTATCAATTCATCAGAACTCTAAATTAGCAAACAAACAAAACTGAATGAAGAATTTGTGTGACACTTTGACATGCAATTTGAAAAAAGCAATATTGATGCTGAATTTTTTTTAATTGCTGCATCATTCGAATGGATTGTAAGAGTAGGCAGAATGTTAGAAAATGGTACTGTCCTACAAAATCCTAAATCACTGAGATTATAATCAATTTTGTAAAAAAGTTTTTTATAAACTGTACATTAACACTCATTTCGTGCACACTTAAAGACTGTCTCAATAACATAAAAATGTTTCCAGTTGTATCACATGATTCGAAGGAACACCATCTCCCTCTTAGCTTAGGTCCCACCTACTTATTCCCTGATGACTTCTAAGCCTGTCCTGTAATGTAGTCAGACCTCTTTCCTGAACCCCAGATCCACATTTCCTAATGTCGCACACAGAAGAAATACAATTTTAAATACACTTACTGTCAAACTGAATTCACTTTCTAGCAAAATTCATTCCTTCTTTCTTCACCTCTGGCCTGGAAAATCTGCTGTCTCAGCCAGAAACCTAGAAAACCTCCTCGATTCCTCCCTCCCTTGACCCTGACCACCCACCAACCAAAGCCTCTTGACTCAGTCTCTGAGTGCCCTGCCGCCACCCAGCAGGCAGGCCTCTGCTTGGCTCGGGTCCTCCCCGTCTCACTCAGCTTTGCCAACAGCAGCCATACTGGCTGCCTTCACTCCAGCTTCGCCCCTCTGCAATCCAGACTCCACACTATTGCTAACATTGTCATTCTGACACAAAGATGTGACAGGTGTCCTCCCTTGTCCAAATTTGTCACTGCGCCAGGACCATCTCGGTCTGGCCCCTGCCCATCAATCTAGCCTCTTACTCTGCACCGCGCTTCATCTCGTCACCCACCTCACAGAAACCCCCTCAGCTCCTTGAGTCTAAGCGCTATGCCACCACTGCACTCTGCACCTGCCTCCACTACGGCCACATTCTGACCACTGAAGGCCTCATCCTTATACTCCGACACCTGATACAGGACCTAACAGACTTTCAAATATTTGCCGACAAAATTTCGTAAGAGTGAACAAAGCAACTGGGTTTCCCCTACCCTTTCCCCACTGCTCAAAGGTACGTACATGTCTCAAGAATACAAAAAGAAGTGAATCCATCCTACACTGACCTCACTACTGCAGATACAAAATGCTGATCTTAAAACTCTTCTTCAAGAAAAGGAAATAAAGTGTCACTTCCGGCCAAGATGGAGGTGTAGGTGGAAACACTGTGCCTCCTCACACAACCAAGTTTAAAAACAACAAAGTTTTAGTAACAAAAATGCAACCAAAACACAGAAAATTGAACTATACAGAAGTCCAACAACAATGAACCATTCAGCCACACTGGTAAGAGGGGTGGAGTCAGCGACCGGCGGAGAGGGGTCTCGCAGGAAAAAGCAGCCTGACTGACCCAGGAGCGCAGGCAGCGGTTGGCAAATCCCAGGTGCGGGGTGGCAATGGGTGGACCCAGTGGGGGCGCGAGGCAGCTGGCTGACCACGGTCACACATTCACACACAGATAAACCAGGCAGAGAAGCAGGCTATGAGACAGACCGCGTAGGCTAGGGCCCCAGCGATAACTGAAGCCTAAAAGCACCAATTGAAAAAACTCTCAGGGTTGAGGTGCCGAGAGAAGCTCCCAGGCTGACAGAGTTTGCTGGAGAGACCCACAGGGTCCTGGCGGGTGCGCAGCGCAGGCCCACACACCCAGGAGCCAGCACCAGAGGGGCCCGGTTTGCTTGCTTGCAGGAAGCAGCAGAGGGGACCGAAATCCGAGAGAGAGCAGAACAAATGCCATTGCCCCTCTGTGACCCTGCCCCCACATACAGTGTCACAACCCAGCAACTGGGTCGCCCCACCCTGGTGAACACCTAAGGCTCCACCCCTCATACATAACAGGTGCAACCTGACCAAAACATTATGGCTCAAACAGAACAGCTCAAAGTCCCAGAACCAATACTTCTAAGTAACCAAGAGATAGCTAACCTATCAGATGCACAGTTCGAAACACTGGTCATCAGGATGCTCAAAGAACTGGTTGATTTTAGTCACAAATTAGATGAACAAATGAAGGCTACGCTAAGTGAAACGAAGGAAAATGCACAGGAAACCAATAGTGATGGGAAGAAAACTGGGTCTCAAATCAAGGGAGTGGACAAGAAGGAAGGAAAAAATGACCAAACAGAAAAGAATGAAGAAACAAGAATTCAAAACAACGAGGAGAGGCTTAGGAACCCCCAGGACATCTTTAAACATTCCAACATCTGAATTATAGGGGTACCAGAAGGGGAAGAGGAATAGCCAAGAGTGGAAAACTTATTTGAACAAATAATAAAGGAGAACTTCCCCAGTCTGGCAAAGGAAATAGACTTCCAGGAAGTCCAGGAAGTCCAGGAAGCTCAGAGAGTCCCAAAGAAGGTGGACCCAAGGAGGAACACACCAAGGCACATCATAATTACATTAGCCAAGATTAAAATGAAGGAGAGAATCCTAGAAGCAGCAAGAGATAAAGGGATAGTCACCTACAAAGGAGTTCCCATCAGACTGTCAGCTGATTTCTCAAAAGAGACCTTACAGGCAAGAAGGGGCTGGAAAAAAGTATTCCAAGTCATGAAAGGCCAGGACCTACATCCAAAATTGCTCTATCCAGCAAAGCTTTAATTTAGAATGGAAGGGCAGACAAAGTGCTTCTCAAATAAGGTCAAATTCAAGGAATTTATCATCACCAAGCCCTTATTTTATGAAATGTTAAAGGGACTTATCTAAAAAATAGAAGATAAAAAATATGAATAGTGAAAGGACAGCAAACTCACACTTACTAACAACCACACCTAAAACGAAGCAAACTAAGTAGACAGCTAGATCAGGAGCAGAACCATAGAAATGAAGATCACATGGAGGGTTAGCAACAGGGGAGTGGGAGAAGGAGAAGGGGGGAGAAGGTACAGAGAATAAGTAGCATAGACAGTAGGTAGAAACTAGACAGGGGGGAGGGCAAGAATAGTATGGGAAATATAGAATCTAAAGAACTTGTGACACATGGACCTAAACTAAAGTGGGGGAATGGTGGGGAATGGGATGTGCAGGATAGAGGGGTATGAAGGGGAGAAAATGGGACAACTGTAATGGCATAATCAATAAAACATATTTTTTTTAAATAATGAAATAATCACTTCTACAAACAAACGCTATACAAGATAAAATTTCCTCAGGTATAGCCATACCTGTAAAATGTTAGTAAAAAAGTCATGGTAGAACATGGGCCAATCTTGACGGCCAATGTCAACAATAACTTTGCAGAGCTTGTTCCGGATAAAGTAAGGTAAGGTTTTGTGGTGAGCCAAAAGGAGTTTGGGTAGACAGCTACGGATTTCCATCTTATCCTGAGATGGGACCCCAAGCCACATTTTATTGATCAGATTCTGAAAAACAAACATACATCTCAAAGTTAGCAATCTATACATAAAAATAACTGGTTTTCATTCAATGGTTAGCTATATCACCTCAAATAAGAAACCCTGATTTTAAACAAAAGTTTGGGGTAATTTGGTAACAAGAGTAATAGAAATATTCAAATCTATAATACAACAATCCCATTTCTAAAAAGAGCTGCTAAATAATGTAATGGAAACAAAAAGCTGTATGTGTAAAACTTTCTATTATGTCACTGTCTCTAACAACCATCAAAAAATAATGACAGAAATGTTAATGTTCAAAAATAAGAGAATGGTTTGGTGAATAATGGTATAACTATTTACAGGAATATAATATGAAGGTAAGTGGGGGGGGAGCAGATTACAAAATGGCATGAGCAATGTGATTATTATAATTAGGTTTTTAAAAAGTGTGCATAGACCCTGGCTGGGGGGCTCCATTGGTTGGAGCATCGTCCCATACACCAAAAGGTTGCAAGTTCAATCCCCCATCAGGGTGAATACAGGATGCAACCAATCGATGTTTCTCTCTCACATCGATGTTTACGTCTCGCTTGCCCTCCCTCTCTCTTTTTTTCTTCCCCCACCCCTTCCTCTCTGTCTAAAAAACAAATCATAAACATATCCTCAGGTAAAGATTAAAAAAAACAAATAAATAATTTTAAAAGTGTGTATAGGAAAAGAAAAATAGGAAGAGAATCAATAAAAATGAAAATTTCTGTGGTTAGGACAAGAATATTCTAGTTATCATCCCTCCTCCCACACTTTATCTTTCTTTTTAAAATGATAACATGGAAGGAAAGTTACATGCTACCACAAATAACCTACCTACCTAACCCCATCTTACCTTTGAGCTGAAGATGAAAAAGTGCCCAGGAACCCCAGACACCTGGATAAAGGCAGCATGTGGAGAAGCCCTGAGCTGAATTACTGTTTCTCAGCCATGTGTACATCAAAGCTAACATCTAGTGCCAATGACATAGTGACGTGACTACAAAATACTTTTCAGAACAGTGTAAAATTATCTGACAACTTACCTCAAATACTGTCAAACTATACATCATTACATAGTCATTCCTGGTGCTGGAGAGAAAATATAGGCAGAATCTCCAGGCTCCTATTTGCTGGGCAAAGTTATTAAGAAGCGCCTCTGGAAAAGTTAAAATAGCAACAAAAGAAGGCTTTGAAAATACATGAAATTAATACAAGCCTGGGCTGTCTTATAATTTTTTTAAACGTGCTTCCCTCCATATATGTTAATGTTGTCAAAACCAACTACAAAATCCAGCTGATTTTTCAACATAGAAATGACAGACCAAACCATATTTTTCCGACTCTGGGGTGACCAGGAGCACTGACCTTGTGCTCAGCCATTTTAAAGTCAGTGAGTTTGCTAATGGACACATTTTTCAGGCAGAGAAACTTTCATTATTAAAGTTCTTACTTAACCTTAGGTGTAGATAGACAGTTTTAAGAGTATCGTTTCACCTTATAAATGATGGTTATTTGTTAACTTGTTTCCTCTGGGGTAAGAGATATACAGAATCTGACACAAATAACACCCCTTTTTTATTACAAAATATTTTATTACAAAATTATAAGCATGTAGTTCTGTAACATAACAGTATCACACTCAAGCACACCACATAACATTTTAGGTGAAATATTCAAATTAAAACTATAGCCCTGGCTGGTACAGCTCAGAGGATTGAGCACAGGTCTGCGAACCAGAGGATCGCAGTTCAATTCCCAGTCAGGGCACATGCCTGGGTTGCAGGCTGGTTCCCTACAGGACAGTTCCCAGCAGGGGATGCATGAAAGGCAACCATACATTGATGTTTCTCTCCTTCCCCTCTAAAGATAAACAAATAAAATCTTTAAAAAAACAAACCTATCAATTATTACACCCATATGATTACCCTACCAACCACACTCAAGCAGGAGCTCTGCCGGACCCTGAACACATCTCTCCCCCAGTTCACTCATGCCACGCACACACAGTGATGGCTAGAGAAGCAGGCAAAGATTAAATCTTACCTTGTAAATAAAGGATAGACAAAAATGAAAGTGAATTCAACATGCATTTTCAATTCTCTTCATTTGGTTTTGTTTTATTTTTAGCTACCACCCACAAAAAAGTAAATAAGAATAGCAATTGTGGAAGATGCCAGGCATAGCCCTGTGCACATCAAATCAGTTAGAAATGGTTTTCCTCCTCTTTAGGCTGCTGGTAACCTCAGCCAGAAGCAAAGAAAGTAAGCAATAAGAGTCTGGACATGCTGCCCTTAACCACCTTAACCTGCTGTACTGGCCATGAAATGTAACAGAAGAGGGGTAAAAATACAGAAGCAACAAACCTCTTAGATTCTAGGAAGCCCTTGGAAAAGCAGGAAGTGTAGTAGTCCATTCTAATCCTAAAGTCACTGCTCTGACCCTACAACTTAGGCTAAATACACCAAGATAGTCTCATTAAAAATTCCATAGAAGGCCCTAGCCGCTGTGGCTCAGTTGGTTGGAGCCATCATCCTATAACCAAAAGTCGGTGGGTTCGATTGCCATTCAGGGCATATACCTACATTGCAGGTTCAATCCCCAGTCCAGGTGCAGACACGCGAGACCCCTGTCTCCATACCCATAAGATCCCCAGCCCAGACAGATACAGGAGACAACCAATCCATGCTTCTCTCTCACATCAATGTTTTTCTCTCTCTCCCTTCTTCTATTTAAACACAATGGCGGGGCAGGGGGTGGGGGGGAGCCCTGAATGGTGTGACTCAGTGGATTAAGTGCCAGCCTGTGAACCAAAGGGTTGCTGGTCTGATTCCCAGTCAGGGCACATGCCTGGGTTGCAGGCCAGGTCCCCAGCTCAAGGTGGGCAAGAGGCAACTACATGTTAACTTTTCTCTCCCTCTTTTTCTCCCTCCCTTCCCCTCTCCCTAAAACTAAATAAATGAAATCTTAAAAAAAGAAAAAAGCGATGGAAAAAAATCTCCTTGGGTGAGGATTAAAAATATATATATTCCATAAAAGAAAGCTGATGGCCTGCTCTTATAATTAAGAGTTTCTAGAAATCCAAGAGGTGACGTCAAACCAGAGAGAATGAGCTCTGGCTGGAAATGAGGAACTCGGGGCTCTATTCTAGACCTTGCCACCAATTCACTGAGCCAAGAGAATCACTGCTCTTCATCGATACTTCAGCTTCCTCAGAACACTGTTAAAATGACTAGATTGTCTCTTGAGGTTTCCTGCTAACAGCTTTTATCTCTAGAGCACTAATAATACATCTTTGGTGGAGAATACATGGAGCCTCTCTCCCTTCTCCCACCTAGCTAGAAGGCCTTAGTTTATCCTGTGACATCAAAAATGAAACAAGAAGTGGTTCCAGCCCACACACTGGAATAAAGCTGAACTAAGACATGCCTCCTACATAGAATCAAATCCCAGCTTCCCCTGAGCCTTCATTTAAATTAGAAATTTGTAGCATCTGATTAAAGATATTTTTAAATCAGATGAGAATACAAACATGTTCAGAATGTTGCACTTTTAATTTGTGAATGCTGAAGGTTAACAATATTTGCTTTGTAAACCAAAAATTAAGAGAAAAAAACAAAAACCATTCAAGTATAAGTAAAAAACAGGACTTCAGAGAAATTAAGTGTTCAACCACAGCAGACTAATGTAAGGGAAAGACCCCTCAGCTTCTTTGGTAAAAATCACCACTAAGGTTTTCACTATAAAGTACTTGGGTAGCACAAAACTAACGGGGATCACTCTGGAGGCAGGAGAAGGACTGGGCTCACTGTGTATTAAAAGAAGATCTAGGGAAGCAGAGTAAATCCTCTAGGCCAAATGCCTGCTCACCTGCTGGGCTCAGGTGTTAGTAGCCCTTGTTTATAAATGCTCTGGTTCTCCACAGGGAAATCCCTCAGAGAAGAAAGGTATGTACAGGGCAAGCCCACAAGAGACCACCAAGCTTAAAATTAGAATAAATAAGAAGTAGGCATCAACCAGGAGCTGATATGCTACTCAAAGGATGCAAGAGAAAGTGGGCTACAGTCAAAGGCATACCAGCCACCTAGAAATCCAAACCCTAATCAAGCTTTGGAGCAAAGGCAGAAATCAGCTATAACACCTAACTTGTCAAGTATTAGAAAAGCCAAGTGGGACAGAGAAATGGGCCTCCACAGAATTCCACATAGAAAAAGATGGCCGAGGAGGTAAAAGCAATGAATGTAAGGTCGATGCAGACATCCAAGGGAAAAACCTTTAGGTGTGAATAGAGAAAAAATTTTCATTTTTGAGTTCAGGGGTTAAATGAGGGTTGGGAGGAAGAAGGGTTATACTGGGACCACAGTGCAACATGTTGCACTGTTGCACTCTGCCTCAGGCAGAGATCTGGTAACTTGAATATACCTTCTAGTTTAAAGTATACTTTAAAGAATATTGTTCATGTCAATGAACATAAAATTTATAGAAGTTCTAAAAGGTGCTGAGGTTCTCAGAAGACCTGAAGTAAATACACCTACATCTCTCTGTTGTTTGAAGTCTTCATTTATCAAAACTTGCAAAATGGATGAAATATCCAAGATAAGGAAATGGAGATAAGGAAAAAGAAGAAGCCCCCAAAGGGAATGCCAGCTGAAGGATCTCTGAGCACTCTGTGAGGTTCAGATTAGATATCTACACACCAAAAACATATGCATTTTGATACTTTAATAAGCTTTTTAAAATTAATAGTCACAGACTTCTTATACAGTTTAACAGTGCTGAATTAAGACCAAAGCAGCAGGAGGGGTTTCCCACACTTTACCTAAAGTAAGAAAATCCATCATTACAGCTCTATGGACCATACTGTAGCCCTTGTAGCTAGATTTGCAGACCTCACCAGCCACCAACAGAACCAGAGCAAAGAGAGCAAGAACTCAAAGAGAAATATGCAGGCTTGCCCGCCAAGGCTACCAACTCCTTCCTGCCCAATGGGTCCTTTCCATCATAAATGACTCCTTACAACTCAACATTTCACTTACCTATCTCACGTTTTCTTTCATTGGTTGTACAGTCATGAAAAAACTCTGTCATCAGACTTTCCAATGCCCTGAGGGAGGTTTCTTCAGATGCCTAACAAAGAAATTTGAAAAAAAAAAAAAAATCAATAAATTGTTATCTTTAGTTCTACTGTTCCCCAGTTCCTTCCAGGTCAGTCAACAGCAATAGTAATTTACTTCCTGAAAACATCCTGGTTCAACATTCTTCAAATACATGATATAAGCAAAAAAAACTGAAGGGAATTTTCCAACTGGTTCGAAACCCAAAGTCTTAGTATATTCTATAAATTCATGCTACTATGCAATTGATTTTCAATTATTTAGGCTTCAAAAAAAAAGGAGCAAACAATTCAAAATTTAATTCTGGAAACACAGAAAGCAAATTAACAGCCTATGGCCCTGACTTAATAGGCAGCATGAAGACATTCATGGAAAAGATTAGTGTTCCCTATCAACTGTCTGTCAACAATATATTTGCCGCATGTCTGAATAATTTTGATTCAGAGCAATTATAGTTAAAGTGCTGTATGGATTCCTGGGGTTTTTGCAGGTGCTTCAAGAGTCATCTGTCCAGTCAACTCTCAATGTGATTTCCACGAGCAGTCAGCAGAGATCAAACTGCAGCTAAGAGCCACACTGAGCAGGAACCCAATATCAGACATCACCTCCAATCAGACCCACAGAGACAGCCAGACTCTCAGCAGAACAGCTCAGATGGAGAATGAGAGGAGAGGGGCCCAAGACCCCAATGCTTGCCCCCCACCTTCATATGGAGCCCCAAACCCATTTCCTCTTCTCACTGAAGTATGGGACCATCAGTTGCAGCAAAGAGTTTGAGTCAACACTCCTTCTTGCAACCCATCTGCAAAAAGTAAGCATTCCTAGACCATTTCTGAATCTTCATTGGCATTAATCTACCCAAAGATAATTAAGAGCCAACAGCAGTTCTGACTGCTTAATTACCATTTTCCCACCCATCCTCTCCATTGCCCCCAGAGTGAGAGTTAACTTATAAAAAATTGTTTTATTTTTAAAATATATTTTATTGATTATGCTATTACAGTTGTCCCATTTCCCCCTTCATTCCCCTCCACCCTGCACACCCCTCCCCCCACATTCCCCCTTTAGTTTATATCCATGCGTCATAAGTTCTTTAGCTTCTACATTTCCCACACTATTCTTGCCCTCCCCATGTCTATTTTCTACCTACCGTCTATGCTACTTATTCTCTACCTTCTTCCCCTCTCTCCTCCTCCCACTCCCCTGTTGCTAACCCTCCAATGATCTCCATTTCTGTGGTTCTGTTCCTGTTCTAGTTGTTTGCTTAGCTTGTTTTTGTTTTAGGTGTGGTTATTAGTAACTGTGAGTTTGCTGTCATTTTACTGTACCTGTTTTTTATCTTCTTTTCCTTAGATAAATCCCTTTAACATTTCATATAATAAGGGCTTAGTGATGATGAACTCCTTCAACTTGACCTTATCTGAGAAGCACCTGATCTTCCATTCTAAATGAAAGCTTAGCTGGATAGAGCAGTCTTGGATGTAGGTCCTTGCCTTTCATGACTTAGAATACTTCTTCCCAGCCCCTTCTTGCCTGTAAGGTCTCTTTTGAAAAATCAGCTGACAGTCTGATGGGAACTCCTTTGTAGGTAACTGTCTCCTTATCTCTTGCTGCTTCTAGGATTCTCTCCTTCATTTTAATCTTGGCTAATGTATTATGATGTGCCTTGGTGTGTTCCTTCTTGGGTCTAACTTCTTTGGGACTCTCTGAGCTTCCTGGACTTCCTGAAAGTCTATTTGCTTTGCCAGATTGGGGAAGTTCTCCTTTATTATTTGTTCAAATAAGTTTTCTACTTGTTCCTCTTCCTCTTCCCCTTCTGGTACCCCTATAATTCAGATGCTAGAACATTTAAAGATGTCCTGGAGGTTCCTAATCCTCTTTTTTTTTTAATATTTTATTTATCTTTAGAGGGGACGGGAAGGAGAGAGGGAGAGAAATATCAATGTATGGTTGCCTCCCATGTGTACCCTGCTGGGAACTAGCCTGCAACCCAGGCATGTGCCCTGACTGGGAATCGAACCATGGTTGCTTGGTTTCCAGGCCCGTGCTCAATCCACTGAGCTACGCCAGCCAGGGCTCCTCTCATTTTTTTTTGAATTCTTGTTTCTTCATTCTTTTCTGTTTGGTTGTTTCTTTCTTCCTTCTGGTCCACTCCCTTAATTTGAGTCCCAGTTTTCTTCCCATCACTATTGGTTCCCTGTACATTTTCCTTCATTTCACTTAGTATAGCTTTCATTTGTTCATCTAATTTGTGACCAAATTCAACCAATTATGTGAGCATCCTAACCATCAGTGCTTTGAACTGTGCATCTGATAGGCTGGCTATCTCTTTGTGGCTTAGTTGTATTTGCTGTGGAACTTTGATCTATTCTTTCATTTGGGCCATTTTTTTGTCTTGACGCACCTGTTACGTATGAGGGGCAGAGCCTTAGGTGTTCACCAGGGCAGGTCAACTCAGTTGCTGGGTTGTGAAGCTGTATGTGGGGGCAGGGTCTGAGAGGGAACAATGGCACTTGCTCCGCTCTCTGTCAGATCTCAGTCCCCTCCTCCAACACTTCCCCCAAGCAAAGTGGGCCTTTCTGGTGCTGATTCTCAGGTGGGTGGGCTTGTATACATTCTAGGACCCTGTGGGTCTCGCCAACGAACTCTCCCGTGAGGCTGGAGTCTCTCCCGACACCTCAACCCCCACAGGTGTTTTCTATCGGTGTTCTGAGGCTTTATTTCTATGCACTGGCACCTTGGGTTGCAGTCTACCTTGCTCCCCAGTTTCACCTGGTTCATCTGTGCGTGAAACATGGGACTACCTGATCAGCTGCCTTGTGCACAGTGTCCTGCTTCACAATCGCCACCTCTCTGGGTCTTGCCCTTGCCACCCCGCGCCTGGGGGTCTGCCAGCTGCCACCTACGTGCCCAGGGTCTGCACACTCTTGCACACCCAGGGTGCCTTTCACGCCCTGTACCAGCACTTTTTGTGCCTCGACCCCTCTCCGACTGGCTTCCCGACTCTATCCCGCCTACTGGTCTAGATGATTGTGTCTATTTTTCCTCCTTGCTTGTCTAACTTCCATACAGTTCAATTTTCTGTCAGTTCTGGTTGTTATTTTATTTCTAAGTTGTTGTTGTCCTTATTTTGGTTGTGCAAGGAGGCACAGTGTGTCTACCTACGCCTCCATCTTGGCTAGAAGTCATAAAAAACTATTTTAAAGCAACAAGTCCCTATTCAAATGTGTTATATATCAAACAATATTACTCGAAGTCTTCACTTGGTAAATGACTTTTAAAAAGACTGAAGAAGCCCTGGCTGGTGGATTGAGCGCAGGCCTGAACCGCTGTTCGATTCCCAGTCAGGGCACATGTCTGGGCTGCAGGCCAGTTCCCAGTAGGGGACACACAAGAAGCAACCACACTGATGTTTCTCTCCCTCTCTCCTTCCTTTCCCCTCTAAAGATAAATAAATTTTTTTTAAAAAGACTGAAGAACTTGGGCCATCTCTGTGGATAAACCAGCACGACGACTGCTGACTACTGAAGCTAAGCCAGGCCTGCATCAGACGTCTGTCAGCGCAGGCCGGCACACCACGCGGCACACGAGGGCCACCGCGTGCAAGCGCTGTTGCGCATGCTGTCCCTCCCCTGCCGCGGCCATGGTCTGATGGCTGTGCAGTGACCACTGAACTCTGACATGCTGAGTGATGAAAAACAGTAGTCTTAACACTTGTGAATATGAGGTCTTGTCCGAATTTTGTATTTATGATAAAAATTAGCCCTCTACATCCTTTTCAAACCAATATATCACCTCAACTGAAAAATATCCTTGGATTACAAGTTAAATTGTTTTATTTAAAATTATACAATTTCTTCAAATGTAGAAATAACTAGAATGTGAGACTAATAAAAGAATAAAATCTTCTCAACCTATTTCTGGTTTCTGTGTTGCTCAAACAAGCCTCACTGTTCTCATTCACTGACTTTCAAAGTAAATGCTATAAATTCAATTTTCTAAAATAAATTTATTTTAGATAATAAAAATAAAAATGTTTATAGGAAGATTTAAAAGAATCAAAGGAAAATCTCACATGGAAAATAACTGACAAAAAAATTAAAATAAATGTAACAAGAGCTATTTGTTGAACTAAAGTCAGTTATTCAGTTAAAATAAACCAATAGTTCTTCTGGAGCAGAAATGGAGTCCTGAAAACTAAGGACTTATCTCCAAGTGGCACATGCTCCACAACTCTTCCTGTCATAAATCATTTTAGAGTAGATCCTGGGAAAAAAACCTGAGCTCATCATATCCAGGCATTCAACCACCAAGATTTACTTCATGCTGGTTCTTAAGGCAGAAATCTGCGACCCTAACAACTACTGGCCCTGCATTAAAACCTGTTGGGGCAAGTTCCTGACAATATCTCTGAGGAATCCAACTCTATCTTCACTCTCAGTCCCATTCACCTTACCCTCCCTGCTTCAGCCCAAAAAGCTAACACTCCAACAGAAAGTGGAGAAAAAAAGGTATCCGCAAGGGTCACAGGATGGATGCTTCTACCAAATGATGGTGGAAATAGCAACTTTATAACCGAATCTGGTGTTTTTCACTTAAAACAAATTATAATGTGCTGTTTGCATTTCAATCACTTCTATCATTGCAATACTAATACCTACCTCATAGGGCCTTTATGAGGATCAAATGAAACAATCTATGAAAGCTCTAAATTATCTAATCCCTAGTTATTGCTACTATCATTTTTATGGTATCATTTGGTATGAACACAGACCACAATAAAACAATAGAAGGGGTCGGCCTACTTCAAAACTAGAGATTCACGCCCTCAGGCTGAAAAGCTTTCCAACAGGATTTCGAAACAAAACTATGTAAGGAAAGGAGAATGAGACTTCATCAAGGTCAATAATCACAACAGAGATGTAAAGACAAAACAACGTGTTCAAGACCTACAACTGGTTAAAGAGTACTAAAAAATTCTCCCCATTTGGCAAGAAGGCTGTTTCACACAGG